GGGAGAAAGGAAGTGGCTGAAAAAATATTCAAAGAAATAAAGGATGAAAGTTACCAAATCTGACAAAATACATAAACCAGCACATTCAGGAAACAGAAAATTCTAAAGAGAACAAATAAATCTACTCCAAGACACAGTATAGTCAAACTTCAAAAAACTAAAGCAACAAATGTGAAGTAGTGAGGGTAACACCTAACCTACCAAGGTAAGACAAGTCAAATGACAGCGGTTTCCCATCACTCTCATACTAAAACCAGACAGTGATCACAGAAAAGAAAATTATAGGCCAGTGTCACCAATGAACATAAGTGCAAAAATCCTCAACAAAATACTAGCAAACCAACTCCAACAATTCATTAAAAGATCAGACACCATGATCAAGTGGGATTTATCCCAGGGATGTAAGGATTTTTCAGTATCTACAAATCAATAAATATGATACACCACATTAACAAATTGAAGTACAAAAACCATATGATCATCTCAATAGATGCAGAAAAGCATAAGACAAAATTCAACATTTATTTGTGATAAAAACTCTTCAGAAATTGGGCATAGATAGGACATACCTCAACATAACAAAAGCCATATACAACAAACTAAAGCTAACTTCATACTCAATGGTGAAAAGTCAAAAGCATTTTCTCTAAGATCAGGAACAAGACAAGGATTCCCTCTATCATCACTTTTATTCAACACAGTTTTGGAGTTCCTAGCCACAGCAGTTGGAGAACAAAAAGAAATGAAAGGAATCCAAATTGGAAATGAAGTAATAAACTGTCACTGTTTGCAGATGACACAATACTCATATAGAAAATCTGAAAGACACAAACAGAAAATTACAAGAGCTCATCAAGGAATTCAGTAAATTTGCAGGAAACAAAATTAATACAAAGAAATCTGTTGCACTTCTATATACTAATGACAAAATATCAGAAAGCAAAAATTAGGAGAGGTGCCAAGATGGTGGAGAGACTCAAAGCTTGCCCTTTTCCACAGATACACCCAGAATTACATTTACAAAGCGAGTGAAATGCAAAGAACACCTACTGAACATGGGCAGAGCATCTCTCACTTCAAAATATAGAAGAATCCTCACAAAACCGGAGGGGGGGAGAAAAAATTTTGATGCAGGACCAGCACTGCAAGGAGAGAGCAGCGCAGGATGACAGGCACACTGATGTGGTGACAACCCCTCTCCAGCCAGGAGGTCAGCAGGGACATAAGTGGAGATTTTGAGGCTCAGAGGACAAAGTGACAGCTGCTTGGTGGACAGAACTAAGGGGCACTGGCATGATCCCCAGCCCTAGATGTGAGCCGGCAGGGACAAGCTGGAACTGGCTGCTGGAGACTGGTGCGGACCCCAAGCAGAGGGCTGAGGCCCACTGCACAGAGGCAGGGGCCCGGCAGCTTCA